GCTTAGTGTAATTGAGTGACGTACTGTATGGCTTGCCCGCGACAGCACCACTGACATTATGCAATTATTACATAACATTCACTTACATAACATTATTGGTTCGGTTCGAACACTGAAACATACTGATGTTATTTTACATGATTTACACCTATTTTATGTTATAGTTATTTATTAATTGTAACAACGGTGAAAATTTTATATATATTGATAGTAAACAAAAATAGTTTTAATTATTTTAGTAATTATTTCAGGATAGCGCAAATTATTTTACAATTTTCAATAATGCTTATTATAATTTTAGCATTAGATCAACCAAAATATGAGTCATATAATATGCAGACTATACAAAAACTATGAATTAATCAGAGAATCATAGCACAATTAATGCTTTACGAACAAATAGTTTTATAATAATTAAGGCATGCAATAGGAATTTTAACATATATTGCAGTTAGGGTTGCCAACTGGTCAAGGTTTGCCTTGATTTTCAAGGTGAGAGGGTTCTGGTCAAGGTGAACGGCGAGGGTCTCACCTTGACATAGACAGGTCAAGGCGAGAGCAAATTATAATTACCGTATGTCTATTTTAGCAATTTATTGTAATAAACCCACTATTTAAAACGCAGAATATTTATTGCCTTTTTGTATAATAACAAAACAAATCCTTTATTAAAAACCTTTCATAAGAAAGACTTTTGTCTTCAAAAAGCCCGTATCTTATATAGAAAATACACTGTATTATTAAAAAAAACAAAATTAAATTAAAGCTTAAATTAACATTTTGCTCATATTTCAAAAATATTGGGTATGAGTTTATTTAATGCGAAAATCTCAGAGTAAAATGAAAATTATTTTTTATTAATAACCAAAATAGTAATGCAGAATTTATATCGGCCATCATTTTTGTAAACTATTGACCTTCTTTTTAGGAGAGATTCAATATCTTCCAAATAAAAATGGCTGCCCTGAGAGTCAAAGAAATAAGTGAGGTATATTTTGGCCACTACTTTTGTTTTGACATTTTTACCACTAAGACATGATTACAGAGTGTAATATAATAGCCAATCTTATAAAGCAATAACTGAAGGTTCTAATCAATATTAGATAAATATTCGCCCAAAACTATATATCTTTTTAAATGTGATTTTAAAAAATATGTCACCAAAAACATAGGCCAAAACAGCCATATTTTGAGCATATTCAGGAATATCTGCTTGGGACACTTTCCTGGTCACTTTTAATTGGTCATAAATACTTGCCTTTGTTAAGCCTTAGTTGACCAACAATTCCATATTTGAAAGTCTTTGATCGGACTCAACCCAGTCTTCTGGCACATGATTGTCCACATGTCGGGGTAGACTCAATCGGACCATGACTTAGAGGTCATAACCTTTAAATTTTAACATTTTAAACAATTCACTGAATAGGTCGATAGCCAATACATCGCATACGTTTCTAGTATTGTTTAGATTAAGCTATTAAATAGTCATTTAATGATAAAATTCAAATTGAATAAAAATATTTTTGTGTTGGCTATGGTTTGTTTCATCTGGCAACACTACTTCTTAATACAAATATATTAATTTGATGGCATATAATTGAAGTTCATAAATTGAAGTATTGAATAGAGTTGGAATGAACTGATTCATATAATACAAACAAAAGTTATAGTTATTCAAAGTCAAGGAACGAGAATTTTCGCATTAAATAAACTCATATCCAATATTTATAATCAAATATGCAATAATAATGGTGGTCAAGGTTTGGTCAAGGTGAATTTAGAAAATTTTTATATTTTTCAAAGCGGTAGTCGATCAGAGTTGGCAAGCCTAATTGCAGTATCACATCATTTATGTAATTTCATTATAAAAGCATTACTCTGTGAACACATTGTAAACAAATTGTACTTTAATATATATTTTTTGTTACCAAAGTGTCACCTTTTTGCATGCCGGAATAATAATCAATGGGCTATTATGCTTATTGCAAAAAATCATTGACTGAACTCAGTACAAAATAGTAAATGGACATTATTTATAATAGTTTTTATTTAATATTTATATAATTTTTTAATTTTTAAAAATTACGAATTATTAAAATTTTTGAATAAATCTATAATTTAAAAATGAAATTAGTGTTTGTTAATTCAGTACACCTTTTGACATTTTTGTTAACTTAGTTTTAAAACTATATTTTATTCCTTATAATAATTATTATAATTTTGATTGTGTATAATTTTAATAATTAGCACAATAATTAATTAGCCAATATTTTAATAAAGTTTGATATACACAATAACACTTACATTTTAATAGTAGCATTTTTCTATATAATAAATCAGATCAAATATAATGCAGTTTAAATATAATCTAACATTGCTTTTACAAGATATTTTTATTTAAGTGCCTGATAAATCTTATCGAGAATAACGTTAGAAATTGTGGTTAAAGGCGATGCTTGTTCAATATTTTCCACGTAAATTGTTCCACTTGCAGCCTGGTAAATATATAAATATCAATATCATTTAATTTTCAAAAAGAATCAATAACAATCAACCAATCAATCAACATTGACATAAATTACAATGACCTTTAATAAAGTATATTTATGAGTAATTTAAATAATGGCCACCAAGTTAATATAGCTCAATTGTCTATTAGCCGATGGCGCATTTAATTTAAAGTATGATCATCATTGGCGTTAGGCAAAGTACTAACCTGGGTTACTCCAAGAAGTCCTTGAATTACTACAGATGGTAAATATACATAGTTTAAAACACAAATATGCTTCAACCTCACTTCTACTCTTAAAACTGTTAATCCTGCTAATCCTATGGGTAATGTTAAATCTATAGAACTAATGCTGATTTTATGATAATATCTGTAATGATCAGACTATGGCATAGGATTAATTTGGATAATAATAAAGCAATGATAAATCTGTGGGTATAATTATAGTTAAAACCGAATAAATATCAACAATATTAGAAATTTTTAAAATTTCAAACAATAAGGTATTTTGGAACAACTTATAACTATAAGTGTTTTAATCACAATTCAGCTATGAATAATGTGGTTTATAGGATTGTTCGGCCCCCATCCTATGAGATTTAACATGGAATTACAACTTAAGTCTATGGCTGTACTTTAATATGGCTAATGCTAATCCTATTATGATTTTTCCATAGACTTAACATGGGTAATGTTATCCTATGGGAGATTATTTCCTAAGGGAAAGCGAAATATGAAGGGAAAGGATAGTTTTTCTCATAGTTAATCCTATGGGACTAAAGTAAAATTTATGTGAAAATGCTTTAACATGGTGTTTTATCGGATTAAAGCCTAAGTCTACGATATATGCTTAACATGGGCAAAGTTAAATGTATGGATAATGTTAATTCTATGGGCAATGCTAAAGGATTAATATTAAATCTCTAATCTATTCTTTGGGCAATACCCGAATTGTGGTTAAAGTATCGCTATGTGATCCTTGTTTTCGTTACTGATGGCAAGAAAGTATAAGGCAACTAATAGATTAAGTGATGATACTTTACGTTATATTCTCAGAATAATATAATCAAATAAGATAAAAGCAATCATTGATAATTATTCATTATAAATAATTACAATAATATTGTTTTTTGTTGATTATTTGTATAATAATAACTTATTTTCTTTAAATATTTTTCAATAAATTATTAGTTAAGTAATATTGAATTTATTTTCGCATCCTTAATTTTGCTTTCCCTTCTTTATTTTTACCCCTTTGCTGAACGCTAATCATCATGAATATTATATGCACACCTGTTTATATTCCGGTGCGTTTGCGCCCAAAGCTAGTTGTATGGCGTCCTCTAAATTGACCGGCATTCCCACCACTGATTGCTTGATAATAATCAATTTGCCTCTAATTTTCGCCCATTTCTTGGTTACCGATGCCCTCAATGTTTGGGATATGGGTCGACGTTTGTGGACTCTATGCTCGAAAAACATGCGAATCCGGGCCAACATCGCACCAAATACGTGGGCCATATCGGGCGCCTCCACGCGCTGTAGGGTTAGCTCATGCATGTGCGCCATTACGATAGCGATCTTGGCCTTTAAGTCGGGTTCGGCGCGCACGCGGCCTAATATCCTGTCCATCACCGCAATGGGCGCGTCGGTTGCCAACTGAGTTAACATAAACTCAATGACAAAATCGTCCATAATTTGTTCGCCGAAATTGAAAAGCCAATCTGGCTCTACGATCACCACTCGGTCAGCGGTGGCGGCTGTCGCACCGGCCACAGGTACGACACCCATCAAAATTTCAACGCATACGGGTGTTATGTCCAAATAGCCGACTAAATCGTAACGTCCGCCCGACCGGCCCAACTGCTCGCTCATTATGTCTCCAATTAGTTTTCTGTAATACTCGGCCACCTCAGCAACGGTGGCCAATTGGCTGCACTCGCGAGTCCAGTTCAAGCCGTACGCCGGTCGATCCAGACGCCGACCCAATTCGTCGATTAAGGCGAAACTCATGGTAAGTGTTGGCATAAAAAATACTGGACTCCGATCATGACCGCCGGGCGCACCATTTAGGAGCACACATTTCTCCGTCGGCATCACAAACACGTTCCGATGTACTGACGAGTGGGTGCTTTTAAAGCTAATTAAGTATTCGCGCACAGGCTCCTGGTCGCCCTCGCCGTACGCCCGGCACATGCCTACTGTCAAGCCTTTGATGTGCGCGAGCGGCGCATTCATATTTAAAACGTTCTTAAACTCGTTTTGCAATTGTATGGCGAACAGCGACTCGAGCCCTATCTCGCCCAGAGTGAGCACATCGGGCGTTGTGTTCGGCTCGACGCCCATCACTGACCACAACTCGCCAATCAATCGATTACCAGTTTTAGCGATGGTTTGCGATGACATTTGCTTTTCAAATAACTGTCGAATATATATTTGAAAAATTTCATTTATATTAAATATATTCATAATCAGGAGAAGGCAAGCTTTTCAAAAAAGCTTTCAAAAATTTTTTTAACTAGACATTATTTAACTGTCCCAAGGTGCATTTAATAACTATCCAAACATTAATCACAAATGCAATTACATTTATTTATTAATATTGTCAACAAATGGGTGACACCAATGAGTGAGTTATTGAAATAATAATTGAGAGCTATTGAAAACATAAAAACCAATTTTAAATAACATTTTTGCAAAACATTTTAATTAATACAACTAAATTCACTAGATATAAACATCACTAGATCTACCTCTCTCATCATTTAGTTACATGATATTTGAATGCATACAGATGATTAAAAATGGCGCATAACGTATTTTACCTTTCAATACCCTCGTTTATCTAGTCTTACCCGCCCTGCGTGACTATGTTCATAATTATTAGAAATTAAATGGCAATGGAGAGGAGAAGCGTGAATACCAACAGGCAATAACTAGAGCTCGAAAAATTCGGGAATTCCCGAATAAATTTAGATAATATAATGTTCGGGAATAACATCCAGTTAGTTATGGGGGTTATAATATAAAACATAATATAAAAACGGCATAATTATATTGTTGTCAACTATGTTTACTCCAATAAATGTCATTAGTTTGAAATAGAGTAAAAACTAACAACTTTTATTTTCCCGAATATTCCCGATTTTGGCATATTTTGAGAAAATTCCCGATTTTGGCATATTTTTGGAAAAACTTCCGAAATGTCTATTTTTGTCAAAAATTGTCCGGAACTATACTTTAATTTCAATAATGGAATCAAAATTTAAATGAATTTGCTAAATGAATACCAAAATATGCTGCAAAATTTACCTAATCTGTTATAAACTTATAGTATACTACAATGGAATAGATAAAACCAATGCATATGGATATGATTCTTCTTGACAATATAAAACATAATATAAAAACGGCATAATTATATTGTTGTCAACTATGTTTACTCCAATAAATGTCATTAGTTTGCGTCAAAAGTGTATATAGACATTTTTAGAATCACTTAATTGGATAATTATCGTTTGAAAATTCGATTTAAGCGTAATTCCCGAATTTTCCCGATTTTGGCCATTTCCCGATTTTATATTCCCGATTTTGTATGCTTTTATTCCCGAATATTTCGAGCTCTAGCAATAGCACAAACATGTAAGCTTGTTGCACATGTTTATATAATAAGATAAATATTCTCTCTCTCTCTCCGGTCAGCGAATTGAGCACAATATCGACGCCCCGACCGCCGGTGCTCTTCATAACATCTCTCTCTCTCTCTCTCTCACTCACTCACTCACTCACTCACTCACTCAAACACTCACTCACCTGAGAAGTGACGATAGCATTGGGAAGAGTTAACAGTCGGTCTAATACATCGCACGCCGATATAATGCGTTGTTTACGACACAATGTATGCGATTCGTGACTTTTATGGCCTTCTAACGCACCGACGTCACCAATAAACCCGTACTGTACGGCCAACCCATGCATACCATCCCTACGCCGGCGTTCGCACAGCCGCTCGCACACAGAGTTGCCGTACGCGTAGTTCGCTTGACCTGGAAATCCATTGCCACACGATTGCGACGAAAACACAACAAAATAGTCCACTTTATAGTCCAACCCACGGGTCAGTTGATCCAGATTTTCAAACACCCGGAGCTTAGTGTCGGCCGTTTCGGCGAACTTATCAATCGGCATATTTTCAGACAAATTTTCGTTCAATACGAGCGCCAAATGAAATACCCCTCCTATGGGTCCCAACTCCTGGGCCTCCCGGAGCAACTGTTTTGTGCCCTCAATTAACAACCCATTGGCCGTCGAAATAAATATTTTTGAGATCAAATCAGGTGTATTTGAATAAAATTCAATCATACGATTGATTACAAAATTCTGATACTCAGTGGTGAGTCCGCGCCGGGAAGTGACGACAAACTTTCGGGCGCCCCTGTAGTGCATCCACGGCAACAATTCCAGACCAATTCCACCCAAACCGCCGGTAATTATATAGGTTTTGTTGGGATTGAAATATGTTTTGACGGAAACCATTAGCGTTGGCGCGGGTTTGATGCGAACCAACGGCCGCTTATCCGGCTCTTCGTCCCTAAATTGTATCATCACTTTCCCGATGTGTCGACCGGTAGTCATATACGCGAACGCTTCGGTTGCTTTGGTGGCCGGGAATGCCGTGTAATTCAACGGTCGAACGCAACCATCACTACCGTTGGCCCCCATACCTGGTACCGAGTTTTCGCTAACCCACGCAAAAAAGTCGGACAAAAACGTTGGGTTTTTTAACACAATGTCTAACGAGACGCCAATAAATTGAATGTCGCGCAAAAACTTGTACCGATCCAACGGCCTATTACGAACCAGGTCGTGTTTGCCGAGCTCGATGAATCGGCCGGAATTGGCCAAACAATCGTAACTCATGTCCGACTTTTGTCCGGTCAGCGAATTGAGCACAATATCGACGCCCCGACCGCCGGTGCTCTTCATAACGGCGCCCATAAATCGCGTATCTCTTGAGCTGAATATGCGTTCGTCGGGAATGTTATACTTTTGGCGCAAATACTGACGCTTCTCAGCCGTCCCAACCGTTACGTAGATATCGCACCCGTAGTGTAGGCACACATTAATGGCCGCCTGACCCACGCCACCAGCGCCCGAGTGAATCAGCACACTCTCGCCTATTATTAAGCGTATAATAAAATGATCAACATTCAATTTTAGCTATTAAAAACAGTAATTGAATAATTTGTTGAAATATTGTACAAACCTTGTATAAGGTTAGCCCGTCTAATGAGCGCGTAATATACAGTGCAATACGCGCTCAGTATAGTCGCCGCCTCAGCCATAGACCAGTCCTCGGGAATGGGAGTCATGTGAGTGATGGGCGCGTAAACACTGGTGGCAAAGCATCGGTTCAAATTCATGCCCATCACTCGCTCGCCGGTGTCGGCCCGACGGCCCACATATTCGCAGCCCAACAAGCAATCGGTATAAAATGTGTCCATTCCAGTAGGTATACGCGCTAAACGTTTAAATATATCATTTAATTTAATAACATTGATGATATATTAATATCACAATTATTCTGTTTAGAGTGACAATATACCTGTTACTATCATGACGTCATAAAACGATAGGCCCGAGTAATAAACATTGACCATTGTAAAATCCATCTTGTTATTATAATGGAAATCAATTTGCGGTACATTCCGGGCGTCAAAAAATTGCAAACTCAACATATCATCCGATTGTCCTTTATTTAAATAATAATCATTTGATTGGCATTTATCGTAATCTTTAGTCAATTTGAAGCGCTTATAAGTGCCCACAACTCCCTCTTTGATAACATTGGCCGATAAATCGTTGGCCAATATTTGTGAATATGGTTTGGTATTAAAATCAATGGCATTGTTGTTATCGTAATGAAAAATATATCGCAATTTCTCTCCTCCCGGCTCTAAACGCAAACAATTCATTAAACCAATGATACCATTGATTGTGCCGTCGTTTCCCATAAGCCATACGTTATCGCAATTATTATTTGTTTCTTTCACCGAACTTATCTTTTCTTTCAAAATTGGAAACCATTTCATATAATCTTCTGTAATATAAATTATATTAATATTTTTAGGAATTGCATGTATTGTGTCAACCCTTCTGAATAATAGGACAGCGTTTCCTATTGTGTCATATTTTGTGGCAATTATTTTAAAACCATTTTTAGCCGAAACTGATTGAAACGCTTTGAGACGTGAATCCAAATCAGTATTTGTGACACAATTTGTTGTTGTATTCAATGAATTCAACGCAATCTCCGGTTCAGTAAACTTATACCGAAATACTGTTAATAAGAATCCATTGTTTTCTATGGAGTCATACAAGTCCTGAATAAACGCATTCAAATCCAATGGCCATAAGTCTTGTGAGTCTCTCATTATAACCAAATGCGATGGCGTTAGACATAAAGCACTGGCACTCGGATCCCAGCCCTTCACTCCATCGCAATATTTTTCGTTTAATAATTTGTCGGTTTGTTTAACAATTAATTTGTAACACGTGTTAAACATAATCATTCTAAATCTATCTATTATTTGTTGAACGTAATTATCAAACAAATTATTTGTTAAATTAATTTCTGTCACATTCATTGTGCTAATATTGCCGGCAATATTTTCGCAAACCATTTCCACAACACATCGAAACAATCGGTCATTATTTTGAATCTCATTTATCATATCTGCGCTCAAATCGTATTCCGGTTTTGCAATCATTTCATTCAATATATCATTTATAATCAGTTTATTATCTTTAATGTTGTCATTCGTGTCCACCAATTGTCCAATAATTGCATCAAATATACGAAACAACACATGATTTTTATTGTTCACGATTCTATAGTTTTGAATCGCATTTTCTTCTATACATTTGTAATTAAAATCGCATTTTAATTCATTGACACCCAATTGGCGTATTTTCACTGCCATTGCTTTACAAACCTATTCACACAAATACATATAAATTTCAAGTGATTATAACAAGGTCAAAACAATTATCACATTCATTAATTGCCTTAAATGCAATGCCCGCTACAAACCTCAATATATTGTAACATCTCTGCGCGCGCCGACACATCGATGGCCGCCTTATAATTGTTGGCACAGAATTCATACGAGTCTAGCGATAAGTTTGTATCAAAACGGGTGCTCAATGTTTGGCCGGAAGTCTTGTATATTTCGACGCCCGGTGTCACCAAAAAGCTGGTGTCGGCGTCGTATCGGAAGGGCAGGTGCGCCGAGAACTTGGCAAACATCTCGTTGAAACGCGTGACTGAGTTATTATCATAATCGACACCATTCTGTAATCACAATTAAAATAAACTTAAATATACGGCTATTTTATCAGAATTAACGTTAGACACTTTCGGAGAGATATTGACTAAATACATTTGTATCTAATCCATATTCAGTATAACACATTACCAAATTATATGGATGAGATGTGAAAAATAAATCGCAGATATGCATCTAATATAGGTTTTTTGCTGAATCATATTATTTTTATAGTTTACAATATTTTTACTGCCTCATTATATTAGTTGTTATAATAATATTTAATGTTATCTAGAATGGAATTACTAACAATGGAATTAATAAGGAATCAACATTAATACAACATATGCCATCATTATTGTGCATTTAGTCATTTATCCCTCGCCGCGTTGAATAAAATTATCAATGTATCGTGTAAATATAAACAAATAACAATTGTCGTTTAGACTGGCACTAAAAATGGGCCATCGTTTTGTTTATTATACTGCCATTCACCTCTCAAGTTCGCGCAAGCGTATTTTGATTTTATCAATTTTAATGCTATAGCGTGTAGACTAGCCTATTAATAGATTTGTTTTGTGAAAAGCATTGTGTTGGTCTACAAGAAATAAAGTTACGTTACGCGTAGACTGGCCTAATAATAGTTGAAATATTAATTTAATATTAGTTAGACTTAATTGTAATTGTTATAAATTTATATTTAAATATTTAAATTTTAGTAATATTGATGCATTCCTGGAATATTTATACAATAGATTCATCCGTTAATTTTTAAATGATTATGATGCAAATGTCTAAAAATAATCCAATCTACATGGCGAGGGTTAAAACTTTGTTTTAGAGTATACAAGGATGAAGGTGTCCAATATTGAATATTGATAAATTTTATAATTAATTAACAATTATGATACGATTTTTATTATCAAATCATGTTAAACAGTTATTAAATTACATATAAATCACCTCGACGTGCTGAGCGTTAGTACCATCGGTTGTGGCGACTCCGAACACGCCGGAAGACGCCAGCGGGGGGCCGTCAGATCGTTCGGCCCGAATGGCGGCCAACAGAATGCGGGGGTCGACGCGAAGATGTCTTATAACCACCGGCACCGTTGCCGCCCGAAACGGCAAGTAAAGTCCGGTGGCCAGCAAAACGCCATCTAAATAGGTTACAGGATTGCCGGTCCACTCGCACCGGCCGTAAAAGGTGTGAAAGTCGTCGGTACCGATGGAGTCCAGGCGCTGAAACGCCGGGCCGTGATCTATGCCCAGCGCGTGTACCGACGCGTATATATCGTTGCGTCCAATGGTGTGACGCCTGTAATCGACGAGTGAACGCCAGTCGCTGATCGAGTCCTGAGCGGTGAGTACGGACTCGTCGTCGCAGTAGTCGTCGGCATTGGACAGCACCGGATGCACGCGACACGTGACGCATAATTCATTATTTTCGTGTACTGATAAATCGCCTGAGTATTGATAAATGAGAACAATGAATATTAGTAAATAATTATTCTTAAAAATAGTTTTTATTTTAACATAATACCAATTTATAGATTAACTTTTATTCCCGCCGCTACTTCAGTCCTTCAATAAATTTTAAACATATGTTTTATATATGCAATTAATGTAAAATTAATGGCTGGGTTTGAATCTAAAATTTCAAATGTCTTATCTTGAATTTCTTTCAAGTTATTTAACTTAGAATGTTTTGTAATCAATAATTTTAAAGTGACGTAATTTATTGTTATGATATATGATTTCAATGTAGAATCTGACGCTGATTAATATCAAATCGGTTTCAAAATTAAATTTAAAGTTTTTAAACTATTCGACTTTAGAATGTTAAAATTTAAAATATAATTGATGCAGAAGTTTGAAAATTTAAAATTTGAAATTTATGTTAAATATTACATCAAATTTATACGTCATATTAATAAATTACGTAACTTATTTCTCTATTCGAGATAGAACATTTTAGAATTCAGATTCGAACTTAGCAATGATATCTACATAAATTTTATATATAAAACATATATGTAAAATTTATCGACGGACCGACGGACCAGCGGGAATAAAAGTCAATCCCACTAATTTATGCAATAATTTATTGCTAATAAATAACATGATAAATACTTATGATAACAAGTATCGTAATTTTACTAACGGTGTGACGAGTTTCGATGTAATTAAATAAAACATAATGAACATAAGTTATTTTATTTAAAAATTAAGTTCATAATTTCCCTTCTATATCTTATATCTTTTTTACTTTCCATATCATCCTCAAAAATGGGAATATAAGATATAAATTGTAGTAAAATTATCATCAATTGTGATATATGTATAACTTTTATTAGTTTCAAAGATAAACCTTAACATGCTTAAGCATCGTATAATTAAATAAATTTTAAAACCTATTAATAAATTTAATAAAATCTAATTAAGAAATTATATTTTCACCAAAAAAAGTGGCTCAATGGTATTCAATGGAACTGATATGTTGGATATAGGCCAATGCCAAAACTAGTGTTTGTGCTTCACAATAAACAATTAAATAATACCCGATTTTATTTAATAATAATTAAAAATATTAGTAAAATTTTTATATAATTGTGGCAATTTTTCAAGTTATAAAAAAGATATTTTCTCTTGAGAAAATAAGTTCCTATGCCATTTTTATCTTCCGTTATTTTCCCATTTTTAGGGAGGAAAAATAAAACGTTATTTTATAGTCTATGACACTTGTTCGAAAGACAGTTGTTCGAAATAATATATTATATTTAATAATTATCAATTAAACCTAACCCAAACTCATCTAAACTAACTTATGCTAACATAATTAATTATATTACAGTATTTTATCAACTGGGTGAATCGATTGAGTTTTAGCATTTGGTTCACACAAATGAGATGTTCATACAATTTATTACATGTTAAAAGTAAAAATATGTTGTTGATTTATAAATATAGATGACATTGTATGGTTTTTTGTAAGCATTAGTGATCTCCAAAGTCGATTAATATATGGACTTATTTTTGAAAATTATGGATGGATTTATGGACATAAAAATGCCAAAATATGGACTTATATATGGAGTTTCAAAATTGATTTTATCAATCTAAAATTGATAATTATATCAATTTATAGTAAAAAAATCAGTCAAAAAATGACATTTTGTGTATTTAACGTATTCTTTAATCATATTTTTCGTTTATCACACAATATATCCATATATTTTCAAAAAATTGTAATATTGTTTATTGATTGTATGGATTGTATTGATTTGATGCATTCAACTAATGAATCACGTTGTGTGAATTAATAATACAGGGAAATAGATTTTTGAAAAATTATTTATAGCTATTGTACAATATTTTTAAAAAAATAATTGTAATTTTTATGTTAAATTTTGACGAAATTTGTATAAAATTAAGCGATTTTGAGCTATTTTTGTGTATTTTACCCAAAATATCCAATATATGGATATATTTATGAAGATATGGAGTTTGAGGCACAATATGGAGTTTTATGGAACATAAATGTGGTCTCAAAAAACTCCTTATTTCATGATCGGTGGAGATCTTTCAATTTCCAAGCGATTAGTATTAACACAAAAAACATGGATTTCCATAATTCAACTGTCTCTGGTGATCTCTTTATACTCTTTAACTTTAAGTTAAGGTTTTTTGATTTTGTGTACAAAACACTTATTAATGCTGTCATCTATGTGTGGGTTTTGTCACAAAATATATGTGGTTCAAACAACTGATTGTATTGAATATTGTATAATATTACTAAATTTTGTTCACACAAATGATATGTTCACACAGTTGATACTATTTTAACATTGTGTCTATGAACTGCGGGTTTTGGTTAAGGTTTGGTTTATACAAATGCTAAGTTCACACAACTGCTTGTTCACCCAGTTGATAAAACACTGTATTATAAATCTTTACTTATTCAATGTGTTTAATGTTTAAACTTTAAACCAAATTAAAATTAATTTTTTCAAACAAGTGTTTTTCGAAAAAGTGTCTCTCAAACAAGTGTCTGCATCCCTTATTAAATTGATTTATATATTTTTGCTCTCGTAATTAACCTCATTAACGATGATAAATATTTACATTATATACATACCGGTTAATACATTGTATCTAATACGGAGGCACGTGTCCGCGTTATCCGATAATAATACGGCCCGTTTAAAGTGCACGCTTTCAAACACGACCGGACACTCTGACCACAATTTGCCAACACTGGCGGCCGCTTTACGCCACGCCATCATTAGATAGCCGGCGGCCGGCACTATGGCTTTGCCCTGTACCGCGTGATCCATATAAAAATTATCCTCGTTTAGTTTGTGACTTATTGTAAATAGTGTGTCCGACGCGTTGGCTTTGCAATAGCTATCATGATAGTTTTTAACGTAATATTGTTGGCTGTGATCCCATTTAATGAGCGATCCAATCGATGGCGTACCCCTCGGAACCGGCCACTCCACCCGCGGGTACAGCTTAACAACGGTCAGATTAAAGCCAAGTCCGTAAAGTTGTGCCAAACCGGACAAAAACATATCCATATTTGTGGCGTTTGAGTCCTTTTTAATGAGCGATATATACGTACTCTTCGGTAGGGTTTCGGACACTATGTGTTTGAACACTGAATGCGGGCCCAACTCGAGCACAATGGCGTCGGCGGGCAATGTCTGAAACTGGTCGTGAAAAAGGACCTCATTTACCATATTATATTCAAAATACTCGCCGCTCGCGTATCTCAACAGCTCCTCCTCGGGATCCGTTGCCAACACCGAAGTGGACAACCATTTACTAGTCCTCAGCCTAGGGTTAGGTATGTAAGCGACGATAGCCTTTTTCATGGCTTTTGCTGATTCTGTAATGTATAGCGAATGGTATGGGATTTCATTGCTATCTAATGGCCGCACAAATACGCCCTTCGCTTTAAATTGTTTCATACTTTCCCGCATTTCATTAATCGGACCTAAAAGTATAGTATTTTTAATTAATTATAAATTAATTTAATTGGTCGCTGTAAAATTTATACATTAAAATAGCATTTGGGTAAAATCGCGGTTAGATTATAATAGTTTATAAAAAAACTAGAATAATGCAAACAATCTAACCTGGTCAAAAGAGTTAATTACCTGAAATGACAACATTATTGCTGGCATTATTGCAGGCAATGTATACACCTTTTGGCATGTATTTTAAGGCCAGCGCTCGGGGCAGACCAATCACTGCCATCAAGCCTTTGGTTATATTTGCATTTTGAACACTACTTAAACCCCGATAGGCGGCGACTGTTATGGCCTGTTTAACAGTAATTAATCCGTCGGCAAAAGCGCAGGCAATCTCACCGAATGAGTGCCCAATTATGCCGTCGGGAGTGATGTCCAGGTCTTTGATGACCGCAAACAACGCGATCTCTATAGCAGTTGTGGCCACGAATTTGGCGGTCATCGTAGAGATGGCTGTCTTGTCTTCTGATAGTAATATGTGTTTCAAATCAATGCCAAACTCTTTGTGAACCGTTTGATGACATTCTTCTATAGTGTCGGCGAATGTCTTGATTGGCATCAAAGCCTTAGCCATTGCCGGCCACTGACCGCCCAAACCGGGGAACAGTACCCATAGAGGTCTACGTGTTTTCTCAGCCATAATTACCATCTGTTTTTTGTATTCATATTTTATTTCTCCTTTCTCTTCTTCTGACACTGATTTCATTATAATTGAGCCTAAATTATATAACAGTTAATGACATTTTAAAATATAAATAGAGTTCATGCAAACCCCTGAACGTCATTCCCGATGAGTTAACATTTGGAGTATATTTCATGGTTTGCGCCAAAAGTGCCAAAAAATCATTTGTAATTTTTTGCGGATTATTTTCAATGAAATCCATTATATATTTGACGGACTCTTCACTTCTGCCGCAAATGTTGACAATTCTGGGCATAATATCGGCGACATTTTGGTGGCCATCACTTGTGGCCAACTTATAGTTGGGTTCGAGCAATACGTGTGCGTTCGCACCGCCGACACCTAAACTGTCCACCGCTGCCAAACCTGTTAATATTTATTTAAAAAAATAAGTTATAATTAAATAACAGTTATTTAATAACTAGTTTACAACACCCGTTAACTTAACCGTAAGAGGGCGTTAGTTATAGCGAGCAATCGTGTACATTAAGCCCCGTGCACGTTTTGAATGGTTAACGACTATTTTCATCATATTTGGCCATATTGTTTATAAAATATATTAACTCATACATATAGATATAACACACATTTAAAAATTTATAAGTGCATATTTGACCATTTTTTAGTGCATTTTATATGACATATTTGACTGCTTATAAATGCATATATTTCTATGCTTTACTAATTATAAACGTTTTACATTTTGAATTAATATTGTACCCTTTAGTTACTCATAAATATTTATGAACTTAGATCTAAATTTTTATAATATCATTATGTATATTATAGTTTCACACTCTCCCTAGTTCCACACAAAATACTAGCGCCATCTTGGAATAAATGAATTAGTACATGTGTAATATCACTTTCACACCAATGGGCTGATGTTTATGTTTTTATTATGTATTTCACATTCCTTAAATTTACAATTAATTTTAATTAATGATAATGAGTGCTAAAATGCAAACATCTGTCTTTAACAGCGAGTGATAAAAATCAAATGAACTAAACATTAAGTCACAAAACAGTCGTATTTGGTTGTTTGGTATGAGACAACATGTTGTTAACATAAATCGCATTATAAATTGTTTTATATCATAATAACTTCAATTTAATTTTCTATACAGTGCAACCTCTCTTGGGGGAACTTCTATTGGGGGAACCCCTTCTCATAGGGAACTGATTTGAAATTTACGTTGGATTTCCTATACTTATAATGTTAACATAACCTCTTTTAGGGGAACTTCTCGGTAAAGAATACCTCCCCATTAGGAACGGATTTATAGAGATTAAGATAAAACTTGCACTCCCCATAAGGAACAAAGATAATCATAAGCACATGATATGTAAAGTATTTAAAATATTCTCAAACCTAAGTATTTAAACAAATAGATTTTCATTTAAAGTTTTATTTAATACTGTAAGAGTTGTGATAAACACTATATTCATATTTTGATAAGTGAATTATTATAATATTGTAAATTAATTTGCTCATTTAATTGTTATAAAATGTCTCAAAAAAGACAATAAATTGCTTTACAGACTAAATATAATGAATTAAAAACATTGAAAGACATGGATTCGGCTTAGGAACAGCGTAATAAACATTTTCAAATTTTAGTCAAAAATAAGACATTTTTACTCAAACCTCCCTTAGGGGAACCCTCCCTATAGGGAACACTTTTGCCGTGCAACTGGCCGTTCCCTATGGAGAAGTTGTACTGTATATTTTCAACTTTGATAAATTCACACACTTATGTTTACAATCTCAAGTGCGAGAAATTATGGTGATCTGAGTGTATTGCTATATATTATTTTTAAAGTCCCTAATCCCTATCGCTAGTTATGACAACTAATATAGGGTCTATGTTGCTTACCTGGTTTATAATAATAAGACTTTACTACAGGCAAAAGTGGTGGTACAAATGGCGCAATTTCGGCGTGCAAAGTGCCTAGATTAATATTGGGTGGAATGCATTCGTTTTCATAGGCTATAAGCACTTTAATAAGTGACACGAGACCGGCGGCGCCCTCCGCGTGACCCATATTGCTCTTCAAAGACCCAATAGGTAACGGCTCCGTACGGGCCGTAGGTTTGCAATACGCGTTGTAAATGGCTTTAACTTCTCTAAAATCACCGGCCTATATATTAAATATAAACATAATAATAAATGAACGAATAAATGCTTATTAATTATAATCACACAATTTTTAAAAATTAGTTTATGATAAAATTCGTTTTAGAAAATTGTATACTAAAGCTAAACAACCATGGCGTTTAACATTATTTATATCGACTCTAACCTGAGTGCCGGCGCTGTGTAACTCCACTAACGACAGTTTTCTCGGATCGATGCCGGCGTCGGTATACGTTCGGCGCATCAGTGACTCCTGTGCGTCACTGGAGGGCTGATACATGCCGTCCTTTTTGGCCCCGTCGACGTTCAGTCGCACCGCTCGCACAGTGGCGTACACACGGCGGGCGTCCGGCCGGCGCTGCAACAGCACAGCGCACACGGCGTCCGCTTTCACGTAACCGTCGGCTCCGGAGTCAAACGGCGCGGACACACCCCGTGTCGAACAAAGGCCCTGTACTTGTGAGCACTGGTATAATATAGGTTGAAGCCATAAATTTGACGCGCATACTATAGCGTTATCTATGTGGCCTGTCAACATACAAGTAAAATATGTTTGCCATTTAAATATTATACACATTAAATTGTTCTATTACATTTTACTCTCTCTCTCTCTCTCTCAACTCCGGTCTACCCGACGATCTGGAGCCCGATTTGGCCAACTCTGCCATTGCAATTTTGCACAAAGAGCTTGGTCAAATACTCTCTCTCTCTCTCTCTCACTCACTCACTCGCTCACTCACCCAAAAGCATATCGTTGTAGGCGAGCGCTAAAGTCGACAATGCGCTGGAACAGGCGGTGTCACAGGAGATGGACGGCCCGTGAAAATCATACACAAATGATATCATATTAGCGAACATGAATTTCATTTGACCAAGCTCTTTGTGCAAAATTGCAATGGCAGAGTTGGCCAAATCGGGCTCCAGATCGTCGGGTAGACCGGAGTTGACATTTGAACCGCCCACGTATACGCCGGTGTTGGTGCCACGCATTTGCTGCGGTTGTAGACCTATTAAATAAAAAATAAGTATTATTATACTTAAAATTGTTAATAACCACAATGTGCGTCTTGAGCCACTATTGTACCGGGTTCGTCAAGCTTTATTCCCACCCATTTGCGCAGTCATCATCATAACAAGCGTGTATTATTTAACAACATAATAGAACTTTTATTGAAACCCGTTACAGATAATAAAGTTGTTATCATGATGACTGCGCCCAGGAGTGGGACAGCTTGGCTATCGCTTTATCGATAAAGTGACCAACCGTACAGATTTGGCCTGTACAGTACAGGTTTTGTGCAATCTGTACAGTGTACAAGCAAAGATCTCGTATGTACTATATGTCTAAGCAAGAAATTGATAAAAATAAGATCAAATTATTATACTTTTATAGCTATATTATTGGTTTTAAATTTAAAATACGCAGATTTTTAAATTTTGTCAAAATTGTAGTTGAAATACGTTTATAATTTCAATTGTAATTAATTTATCTTATTTGTACAGGAATTAGACTGACAACCTCAAAATTTACAAAACAAGGACATTTTAAACAAATCTGACATAAATTCCGGGACATTCCGGGACTTTTTATATAATTTTCAGGGATAATTTCCGGGACATAGTTTTCTAGCTAATGATAATTAAATTAACTGTATTTCAAACAAGGTAAACCATATTTTAATTGGATATTTGCCTTAAAACAAATTTAAATAATTTGCACATATAAACCCAAACGCTTTAATAATTTTAAATTTTTATGCAAATGCTTAAAAAAATATTGTATTAAATTTAGAGACGTTTACCGTCCCTGTCCCGGTCTGACCCTCACCGCGACACAGGACAAAATGCTCAAAACCGGGATTGTCACGGCCAAACCGGTACGGTTGGTCACCCTAACAGGAATGCGACGTATGGTTAGTGCAAATTATGATTATCTATAATTATGCTCTGCTGAGATAATTAGTGTTTTGGTGAGCGTACAGGGAAGTTTACTAAAAAGACAATGTTTAAAAGTGTGATAGCGTGCACCCGAGAGTTATTGTTATAAATTGAAAGTACTTGTTCTACAAAGTCTAATGGTATACTTCATATGGTCAAGTGACTTCGGGTTTGGCCGTAGTGACCACTTTTATCGGGAAAATTCTGAAAGTCAAATCGTTTATTTTATAAATAACCATGTCATATTATATATCAATAGAAAGGTATGGATGAGTAGAATCGAGATCCAAAAGAATTTCTCAAATCTGATATAATCGAGAAAAGTTATATCAAAATTAAGAAATTCAGTATCAGTTATGTACGTTTTTTATAGTAAATAACGTAATTACTGTACATTATTTATATCAATTTTAATTATGCTCACAATGATAATTAATTTTGCAAAGTTTAAAAAAATAAAATTTTTTAATATAAAATTTTTGGCATTTCACCCATTAACTTTGAACTTTACCCTTTACAGGAATGTTTCGGATTATATGAATTGCTAAAAACCAAAAGGCATTTATAAATTCATCAATGTATATCTCCTAAACGAAATGAGCTAGATCAAATCTGTAAAGTGCATAATGATGTTCCATATATCTAGTATATTTCTACAAAATTTATTAAAATCACGTTATTAGAACAAAAATTTTTAAATCATTTTAAAATTTTATAGTTTTATTTTAATTGATCGAGGGGTCGAAATAGGGCGGGTATGCTTTTCAAAAGAGAGTTGCTGGAAATAACACAGCGGCTTATCAAAATTTTGCAAATTTTATTAAACTATGTGAATTAAAATAAAAATGAAATTTCAATATGACTAACTATATTATTTAATACTATATTAAATGTATATTTAACTCTCCATAATGTTCACACACTTGGGACCGTAAATATAAGGATGTGAATTTATAGAATGTGAAAATATAGAAATAATGTTATTGAAATTATTGTGTTAAATAATGCGATTTATGTTAACAAAATGTTGTCTGACACTAAACATCTGTTTTTAAATACAACTATTTTTAAGGTTTAATTTTTGCATAAATTTTAATTTAATTCTTTTCACTCGCTGTTAAAGACAAATTTTTAGCGTTTAGCACTGATTATTATTCAATAAAATCAGTTGTGAGTTTAGGGAATGTGAAATACACATAATTCGCCAAAAGTAGGCTTTGCCTACATGCACCCAGAGACATTACATTAGCCCATTACAATAGAGTGGCACTAAAGTGGCTCCTCTGGCATACGCTGGATATACATTATAGAAAGCATAAATGTTAGCATATTTGATGTGAAAGTGATATTGTGGAGTGTGAAATTAAGCCCATACTAAGTCATATACCTCAAGATGGGGCTAGTAGTTCATGTAAAATTAGGGGGAGTGTGAATATATATGTGATGTGATTTAATGGATTTTACTAAATATTTGGTAAAAGACTTTTGGGATAGTTTTATATGTATAGTTGTATGAGTTTACATATCGTCTTAGTTATTGATCACATTCATACTCTATACGGCCGGACGTTTAAACTATATAATTAATAATATAAAAAGAAATTAATGTATATTTGATTGCAAACTGACCGGCGTCGACGATGGCCTCGTAGACCACTTCCAATAGCATACGGAGCTGTGGGTCCATCAGATCGGCGCCCAATTGGCCGAAAAACGCGGCGTCAAAGCGATCGCAGCTCCCGATCGCACCCATCCGTGGGTTTATACCAAATAGATCTGCAAAAATCAAATATTTTATTATTATTATTGTGATTTAATTTAGAAACTAATATTTTAATATTAACAATAATTAATATTAATTTTTTAAATATAATATATTGTATTAAAAATAGTATAGATATAGATAAAATGATAGACTTTGATTATTACCTTTTGGCCACCGGTTGTGGTCATCGGTAATCAAATCGCGGCCTTCGTATAGATTTCGTGCGAATTCGTCGATAGTGTCAGACATCGGGAATCGACCCGACATTCCAGTAATCATCACATCATCCATGGCTCCTGACTTACACACGAACATGTTCTGTCGTAAGAAAGTTTAAATAAGTTAATGTATTTTAAACAAAACACTATTTTCACTGTAAATAATGTGTTCTCCACAGTTTGAAGAGTATTTTAATAATGACATTAATAATGATGGGTATACGAATATATATACTTAGAGGAAATGAGAGATAACAGTATTTCTAATGGTGCATAAGTTGAAAAGCTTGAGAGTTTGTGTTTGAAAAGGGTTAACAATAGAAACCTTAATTGTTAATCGTTATTCAAATTACGGAAATGTTTTCTAGTGTTGAAATCTATTAATTACATAAAATTTCAAAAATAAAAAGACATTAACTCAAAATTAAGTGATTACGTACTGGAAGAGTAATATTTAATGCATTTAATTATATAATTGTTACTTTAAATCGACTTTTAAAATTTTTTATTTATTATATAAATTCGAGTTTCTTGATGTACTTAACAAACACTAGTCTAAAACCTTTACAAATGTTGCAACAATTAAAATATTTTAATCTATTATTTAAAAGATAATGCTTTATATATAATAAGCATTATAAATTGTTTTATATTTATTAAACGATATAATTATTTATAATTAACATATAAATGGCTTTGATATTTTATAAACTTTTATATTTTTATACACTATAAATATTATAATACATCATTAAACTTGTTAAAGGAAATGAGGGCTAAAAATTGATCTAATTGTTGCAAATTTTAAATATAATAATGTATTATAATATTTATGATGTGGAAAAATAATAAAGTTTAAATAATATCAAAGCCATTTATATGTTAATAATTATATCATTAAAAAATTAAAACAATATTTATGATTTTATTCTACATGTATGTAATGTCATTTTAAAATTGGACATGTAGTAGCAGTGTACTGTATAATTTTTTTTTAAACATGAGACTATAACATAACAAGCCTATTTATATGTTAATTAAAAATAATGGAGGCTTTATATAATATTTATAAAATTTCAAACTATTCAAACTTAATACACTTAATTAACAATCTCTCCCATTATTTTATTACAACATACAAATGAATATATGTGAATTTTGTATATGAATGAATACTAATGACCAGGAAAACGGAGTTTAAAAAATCTTTCAAAAAAATTTTAACTAGACATTATTTATGGTGTATTATGATAAGTTATCATCAGAGACAGTTGAATTATGGAAATCCATGTTTTTTGTGTTAATACTAATCGCTTGGAAATTGAAAGATCTCCACCGATCATGAAATAAGGAGTTTTTTGAGACCACATTTATGTTCCATAAAACTCTATATTGTGCCTCAAACTCCATATCTCCATAATTATGTTCATATATTGGATATTTTGGGTAAAATACACAAAAATAGCTCAAAATCGCTTAATTTTATACAAATTTCGTCAAAATTTAACATAAAAATTACAATTATTTTTTTTAAATATTGTACAATAGCTATAAATAATTTTTCAAAAATCTATTTCCCTGTATTATTAATTCACACAACGTGATTCATTAGTTGAATGCATCAAATCAATACAATCCATACAATCAATAAACAATATTAGAAATTGAAAGATCTCCACCGATCATGAAATAAGGAGTTTTTTGAGACCACATTTATGTTCCATAAAACTCCATATTGTGCCTCAAACTCCATATCTCCATAAATATGTCCATATATTGGATATTTTAGGTAAAATACACAAAAATAGCTCAAAATCGCTTAATTTTATACAAATTTCGTCAAAATTTAACATAAAAATTACAATTATTTTTTTTAAAATATTGTACAATAGCTATAAATAATTTTTTCAAAAATCTATTTCCCTGTATTATTAATTCACACAACGTGATTCATTAGTTGAATGCATCAAATCAATACAATCCATACAATCAATAAACAATATTACAATTTTTTGAAAATATATAAATATATTGTGTGATAAACGAAAAATATGATTAAAGAATACGTTAAATACACAAAATGTCATTTTTTGACTAATTTTTTACTATAAATTGATATGATTATCAATTTTAGATTGATAAAATCAATTTTGAAACTCCATATATAAGTCCATATTTTGGCATTTTTATGTCCATAAATCCATCCATAATTTTCTAAAATAAGTCCATATATAAATCGACTTTGGTGATTATAATTGTGCCCAAAGTCCTGAGTGCCGGACACCGGTATTTGTCCGTCAAATACCACCCAATCTGTTGCGCCGATTGGAGGGTATTGTCGACTACTATGTGGACAGACAGACATCGGGTCATATGCTGTGGTTTAACATCAATGGACGGCCGATGTATTGCTTTACATACGATGGCCTAAACCTGTCCGCACAGGTAGTGTTTGTTTAATAAAATTCATAGTAAATGTTTAAAACAAAATATTGTTTATTATTTTCAGTGCAATTCAACGGATGATTTGATTCCGTATTCAAAGCACTGTTTCACTGAAAACATCACAACAACAGACCATTTTGTGACCGTATTATGGATTTTGTTTGCAATTCTGTCCATAATTGGTGTCATTGTCTTCGTATCAGTTGTGGTGATAATTAGGCGAAGAAGAATACAATTGGTTACAGAAGACACGGCAACTACTTTACACTCTAAAAGCAATTTGTCGACCCAATAGAGTTCTACGATTTCCACAAAGACATCAAAAAACACAAAAAAGAGATCAAAACCTAAAATCTAGACTCAATTTGTGGTTATGTTTTGAGTTAGTATTTATATCATTTCAATTTTATATCACATATTTTATTTATATTTATTTATTATTTAAATTTATATTTTATTTCATTAGTAAATGAGATTTTTATTTAATTTTAATTATATTTATTGATATTTAACAAGATTTTCCATTTATTTAAATTCAATTAATATCAATATTAGGTATAACTTATTTTAACCAAAAGAATAAATTATTTACTTACTTATTAAACAATTATAAAAAATCTCAAAAATAATAACTCGTTGTAATAAATCAGAAATGAAGTAAATGCCAGACATTTGTGATAATATTTTGAGTCCACATATTTTGCCAATAATTTTAATATTTGTGGCAAATTTTGAAAAACCTTATTTTAAATCTTATTTGTAAATATAATTGTATTTATGTTTAATTTTAAAAGTGACAGCAAATTATTAATTGTACAGAAAATAAAAATATCAAAAATGGTTATTATTTGACACAAATTGGGAATAATTGTAAACTAATTATTATTGATTATTACGTATTATGTGAAGGCATCCCATGTTTTTTTTATAGATCGGACAAAATCTAAAAATAATTATTTAATTTTCAATTCCAATAAAATAAATGATTTGTTAAACAATTAATTTCGATACTTTTTATCTAATTTTATACTTACTGTCAGATAGTATAATATTTTAGTTAATTCAGTACACGTTATAAACATTAAATACATTTTACTTGTTATTAGCGCGAGGTCATTATGTAATTTTAAAAATACAAAAATCACTTTAGTTTTCATATCATTTCAATTAAACGTTTTTTAGTCAATTGTTTCTCACATCTAAAGTAATAGTCTTTTGAAAAATATTTATTATCGCAAAAAATGAGGACAATTTTGATCATAATTTGTATGATATCTGCCATTGAATGCCAATCAATGTGTGAATACATACAAACGAATGGCACATATAATGGCATCAAAATGTACAGACAATGGAGAGTTAGCCCACGTTCATCCACGGATAGCCCACGTTTACAATCAAGCCTTAAGATGTACTCTAAGGACAAGATGTGGACATTTAGTATAGAAAAGGCTGAAAAAGAAACACTCTTTGTATCGACTATTGGATCCACTAATGAAACGATTAGCCAATTAACAATCAATAGGATTGCAGCCGTTTTGGATAAATCGTTGATTCCTTATGACTGGGCTTTTGATTTTGTTGTGTCTTATAATGTGAGTGATTGAGAGAGAGAGAGAGAGAGAGAGAGA